TCTGTTAAACTTAATTCATTCCCCTGTTTTCATTCCTCGGGGATATGACTTTATCTTCTGCTAACCAACTAATATACTCAAAAAGAATCTGATTTGTTTCACATACAAATTAACCGTACTCTTGTCCACACGTAGTGCTTAATAAGCACCTATACTCTCTACAGTAGAGTGCTTGCTTTAAACTTATAGAAATCTTTATTATTTAGTAGAAAGTTCATGTACCAAAATACCTTAAGTTCCAGTTTATACCTTTAGTTAGCGGAACAATAGCTAATAATAAATTAGGTATTGAGTAAATTCAATTTACCTTGTTCTTCTCCACAAAAAGAAACCCAAGATAGACAGAAAATCCCTTAGAATCAAGAATCACGGTACTGGGGCTTCAACTTAAATTAATGGACTCTAAAGTTTCCTCCTCTTTATTTCATTAAGGCTTGGTGATAGCTCCTGTTGTTACGTGCAGCAGCTGTAATGCGCCGCCTCCCCTCCCAGATCTTGCTTCTTTGAGATTTTGCAAAGAATCTCATATTTTCACCCTTTTTCAAACTTAATTTGATGCATTTCTGCCTAAGCCTTTGGGCTTCGGCACCTTTCTGACCTTTTTCTCTTTTTTATTTTGTTTAGTTAATTACTTACCCCTTTTTAATGATATGGGATATTATATGTGGGTTTTAATTTAAAGGCAAGTCTCTTCAAGTCATTGTAGGCTTGCCAACGTGTATCTCCAAAATGTTGCTGCACCCGTATTGGATCCTTAAAAAATGCACAACTTTTGGAGGATCCGACACGCATCCAACGATATTTTCGGAGAGTCCGAGCAACATATGAGGTAGTTATACTAAGAAACTGAAGCGGGGTATATGTAGCTTATTTTCGATAGTAAAGGGGCAAATATTGCCTTTGTCCGTAAGATTTAACTATTAAGTGGTACATATATGCCTCCCACAAATAGGGTTGTCTGTGCATGTAGATGATACACTCGAAATATAAATTGCAAAATATGTAGTATATACATTGTTTTGGAGTTTGAAATATTTTAGTTTGAATTGTCTTAGAAGTTATGATCCCTTCCTTGTGCTTCTAAACTCTTATACATATAAATACTGATTCATTTTCTAATAGTTCACACTTTATATTTTAGTTGAGCAAGGTCTGATGGAGCTAAGGAAATTGGGCATTGAACAAAAACTATGGGAATCATCTCGGAGATAAATTGGGCATTGGTTGAGATTCTCCTGTTACTGGAGAGAAATCTTCCCTGCAGTCTAATATTACTGCTCGCTCTCTATTTTACCCACTGCATAGAAGAGTCTCTTACTCTCCTTTTCCACTTACAACAGTATTCTTCTCAAGAGTCATGTAATACGAAGTCCCAATCTTTTCTTTTTAGACCCAACAGGAAGGGAAGGGGTCCAGGTCCAGTTAAGGTTACACAGGTTTTTGTTTAGTACAAACATGAGTATCTTAGGATGACCGTACATAAATTCTGAAGTGAACTGTATTTAGAAGGGAGGATTTGGCTATGCTTGTTGTTCTGGATTGATTTGCTTAGTTCCAAGTCTCGGGATTTAGATACTGTCGCTACTATAGTGACTTCTTAGTATAATTAATATCCACAATTTTGTTTATGATTTCTTTATCTCCTATGTTATTGTGTTTTAACATCCAGAAAGAACATAGAGTTAGCTTTAACAAGTGATACGAACTATGAACGAAAACACGAATATAGCAAATACGCCGAATCAAAAATAGAGTTAGACCTACAATTGATTGGAAAAATAAGAACCACTATGAAGCCTAATTACCTATATGAATTCAATCAATTGTAACCCTAAGCCAAGAGAACCATTGAGAGATTAGCAACTCTTAAAAATTCGAATAAAGTAATTAAGCAATTAAAAATTTACTACTAATTGCTCACCAGCTAAGACTAATTTAACACTAACGAAAGCATAAACAAAGCAATAAAGGAATTAAAGGCATAAACACATTAATGCATTAATTAAGAAATAAGTAAAGAGTATGAGACTTTCATGTCTTCAAGTTTATCATTCATCAAAGTTTAAATCTAAAGGCACTAATGCTTAGATATTTATAACAGTGCTAATTTAGGTACAAGGAATTCCCAAAATAGCCCCAAAGAGTGACTTAAAATGTAAATTAGCCACTTTGGGTAGAATCTACTCCAAGTCCATCCTCTTGCCTCAATTCTTGATCTTCAAACCATGGGAACACATTGTAATGTTGTAACGACTCGATCGGTCGTTTTGAGCATTTGCATTTACATTCAGTGGTTTGAGGTCATCAGTAGCTTCATATAGTGTATTTTAACTTGAGTGTATCGTCAGTTTTGGTTTTCGAGTGGTTCGAGATTGATTTGGAAGAATGATTCTTAACTATGAAGTTTTAAGTTGGAGGAGTTGATCAAGTTTGACTTTTGTGCATTTGACCTCGGCTCGAAGTTTTGATTGTTCCATTAAGTCCGGATGGTGATTTTAGACTTGGGCGTATGTCCGGATTTGCATTTGGATATTTCTAGAAGGTTTTGGCTCAAATTGGCGAAAGTTGACAATTTGAAAGTTTGGAATATTCATAGGTTTGACCGGGAGTTGAATTTGATGTTATCAGGTTTAGATTGTCGTTTCGGGAGTTGGAATATGTAAGTTTTGTCATTTGAAACTTGTATGCAAAGTTTGGTTTCATTCCGAGTTGATTTGGTAGGATTCAGACGCGTTCGACGAAGTTTGAAGGTTTGAAAGTTAAGAGTATGATTTTGATCTTCGATGCTTGGTTTTGTGATGTTATTTGTGATGTTTTGAGATTTTGGATAAGTTTAAGTTAGGTATATGGACTTGTTGGTATGATTGGACAGGGTCCCGAGGGGCTCGGGTGAGTTTCAGACCATTTTAGGCCTTTTTAACTGCTGATTTTTGGCTACTGGGTGTACATTGCGATCACGAAGCTCTGGGCGCGACCGCCAAGAGGAAAATGCAATATTGGACCTGTGAATCGCGTTCGCAGAGGTAAGGTTCACGTTCCCGAAGAAGAAATTTCTGCTGTCACTTAGCTGATTTTGGGAGTTTATATCTTGCAATCGATAAGGAATTTAGAGGTGATTCAAAAATGAAAATTGTAGCCCTTTGTGTCTAATTTTCAGAAAATTAAACCGTTTTGGAATTTTGTACAAAAGGTTATGGCTGTTATACTTCAGGCTGTCTAGAAAGGGTTTATGAAGGTTTAATGGAGATTGTTCATCGCGATCGCGGGGATTCGTTGATAGCATCCTAGGAAACTCAACTCTATTCAAGGATAAGGATGAAACGTTGAAATCTCAAAGAGGGCTTTAACAAGATGTCAAGCTAAAGAGTTGCAAAACAAGGCCATTAGAAGTGCAAATAAAGAAGTTGTTAATTGGGAGGAAGAGCTCAAGGATAAAGGATATGAATTGGCTAGGTATTATAATTGTTTTATGGCCCAAATTTATGTTCAAGAAGAGAAGGATTGGATCCCAAGAGACATCCTTTGAAGAAGGTCCTAGTCAGTCCATTTTTGGACCAATTTGACACCTAAAATGTGTCCAAACTTGCAGCCCATGAAGTCCTACATAAAGTCACATTTTTATAACATAAAAAGAACTTACTTGATGTCCAAGAAGGGTACAATAGGCGTGCTAGATGTTGAGTGCAAGTTGGTGCCAAGTTGCTTGCAAATTTCTTTTAAGATTTTCAAGATTTTCAAGATTCTATCCAAGATTGGTTTGAGACTTATTTCCATATATTTTGGGACTATATTTATTGCTTTCCTAATTAGTTAAGGTTATATTTTCCTTTTTCTAATATTTTTTGAAATTACTTTCCAAGAATGACTTGGTTTTTGCTTCCTAGTATTTTCTTTTTCCTAAGGTAGTTGAACTTGTTGTCCAAAGTAGTTTAGGGCTTTATTTCCTTATTTTTTAGGCTCAATTTCGTGACCCCTTGCCTATATAAAGGGGTGACTTCTTTGTTTTTAGATATAGATTATTATAGACTATTATCAATAAAAATTGTGAGATTTTTCTTTCACTCTTGTGTGTGGCTACTCTTGGATTTATTCTTCAACCTTCAAGACTCAACTTAAAGTGGTAAGATTAAACCCTATTCGAAATCTTAGATCACTTCTAGGTATTCAAGAAAGGTGATAATTTTAGGCTTATTGTTGTTCTTGTTATTTTAAAGGGCCGGGTTTCACAATCTATCTCTTATTTTTAATTCTCTATCAAAGTCGATTAGTTCTTCGTTTGTTGTTAGGATTCAACTTCATGAATAGACTTCTTGAATTCAAGAAACTCTTTATTGAATTCTATCTATCTTTAATTTCTATCTTCTTTTTCGTTTTCCTATTTTCCTTTAGCTTCCGCACGTTTCTTGACTTTTTTTTTCTTTAGTAATTCTTGAATCCCGTATCGTGTTGTTATCATTCGTGGTCGCGATCATGGAGGGTAATGCTGTGCTGGACATTTTTGGAATCACGATCGCGAGGTTTGTGACCGCGATCGCGAAAAAGGACGACTGATAGTGCATTAAAATATCCAATTTTGAGTTAATATTCTTTACTTTTTGAGTTTTTGGAGCACAAGTAAGGCAATTTTAGAGGAGATAAACACTCAAATCTTGAGGGTAAGTAGTTTTATCTTCGTTTTTCTTATATATTTTATTTTTCCATGGATTAATACACCTAAATCAAGGATTTGAAGAGAAGAAATTAGGGGTTTTTGACTTGAGCTTAAGAGAATGAATTTTGGGGTTTTGAACACAAATTTGAGGCCGAATTTGGATGAAACTTATATGGTTAGACTCGTATTCGAATGGGTTATCGAAATTTTTGAGTTTTGTCGGGTTCCGAGATGCGGGCCTAGGTTTACTTTTTGGTTGACTTTGAGTATTTGATTTAAGATTTGACCTTTATCGTTTGGGTTTGATTCCTATGGCATTATTTGATAATTTTGAGTTGCTTCTGACTAGTTTGGAGCCGTTTGGAGATCAGTTCGTACGGGATGGCGCTTCTAGAGTATTGATTTTTCTTGCTTGAGGTAAGTATCTTATCTAAACTTGGTTGAGGTACTAATTGCCTGAGTTATTTATGATAGCTACGTGCTATGGGTGGCGCACCTGTGTGGGGTTGAGCCCATGTGCGTGCGCCGAGGTATTGTTCATGCTCAGGGTAGTCGTTAGGCTATAATATGCCTTGGATTGATTGCTAAGCTTCATATTTGAGGTTACACAGAGGTTAATCTCCTAATTGAACCTGATAGTTGCTACTTTTGTGATGTATTTGCCTGATTTGAGCTATGATATCACATTTTGCACATGCATACACCTTAGCATGTCTCTTATACCAGTCCAGGAGTATGAAATTTGATGTTCTTTGATCATGTACAAGTGTTCTTGTATATCTGCTTTCTGTGTGATACGGATTGGACTGGTAGCACCTGACCATGCCGTGCGGATTGTGATATTGATCCTATGACCACGCCGAGTGGATTGTGATATTGATCCTGTGACCACGCTGGGTGAATTGTGATATTGAGCTTGTGACCACGCCGGGAGGATTGTGATATTGAGCACGTGACTTTTCCGTGCAGGTTGTTATTATTAGCACGTGAGTTGTCCGTGTGGTTAATATTATTAACTCGTGAGTTGTTCGTGCAACACGTGAGTTATCTGTGTAGAGTGTGGATATGGATCTATCCCCCTAGGGTCACCCTCTCATGTTCCTTCTTGATGGTGTACATGCGGATTGTGAGAAACTGACAGGTTTCTGATTGATGTGGGCCTTAGGAAGGCTGATCAGTGGCTTGATTCGCTTATTGAGATTCTGCTGCGGGCCTTAGAGCTGTATTGTGATTTCTATTTGGATCGGGTTGCATGCTGCAACATATTGATATTTAGTTATTGCATTTCATCCTTACTTGCAATTTCCTTGGCTATTTACCTGATTATTTGCATATTTCCCGTATATGCTGGATTGTTGACTGAGCAGAGTACGTTGAGAAAGTTGTGTGCACCAAGGTGGTTCCTTCTGTGATTCATGACTTGATCATATTTTTGTTCTGTACTTGTTGATTTTATGAACTGTACAGGTGATTAGCAGGTATTATTTATAATTCTTGCTTCTATTACCTCACCGAGGTTAGTTATGATACTTGCTGAGTACATGATGTCGCTATACTCATACTACACTTCTGCACCTTACATGCACATCTTGGAGCTGAGATGATGTAGATGATGGGAGCTGGCACTGAAGATGTACCTGCTTTTCGGTTATAACTACTCCTTGTCCTTGGTAGTTTATGATTCGAATTCTATTTATGTATATTTCAAATAGAAGTTGTATTTATTTTCATACCAGCTTTGTAAATCCAAGTCTTAGTGGCTCATGACTTGTACTACCAATCCTTGAGATATTGTATAGAAATTCAGTTATTTCACTTATTGATTCTTATTATTCTCATTTGAGTGTGTTGACTTTTATTTGTCTTACCTAGCGGGTCGAGTTAGGTGCCATCACGACTAGGTAGATTTCGGGTCGTGACAAGTTGGTATCAGAGTCCTAGGTTCATAGGTTCTACGAGTCATGAGCAAGTGTCTAGTAGAGTCTTGAGGATCGTTATGATGACGTCCATACCTATCTTCGAGAGGCTACTGGGCATCTAGGAAACTTCCAATCTTTCCTTTTTTACCATGCGACATTGATTCAGCTTGAAGCATGTCTCTTTGAATTCCTTCTATACACTCGTACGTTATGTTGAGCACTCGGTATCAATTGTGCATCGATGACTTGTGATGTCATGGATGAAGTGCGAGATGTGTTTTCTGTATTGTGGAGCCAGTCTAGAGGACTTGAGGCCAGGTTTTGACCGCAGCTTTGGCTCGGTAGTTTCAGTTGCACGAGTATGTGCTTTTGGACTTATATGTCCGGTAGTGTCCCTAGGAGTGGGATTGATGGGTCAGTGAGTGGTTGGATATCTATATGATGAGTATTATGTGATTGAGAACTAGGCTTAGATGATTTGTATGTGATGAGAAGAGTTTGTTTTGGATGTGAAAAGGACTATGGGTGCTTGATTTCTGTCTTGATGTGTTGCAAAATCTCGAGTTATGAGTGTGTTGAGGGATCTTTCTATTGCTCATTTGTGGAATGAAGTAGATTCTTATGTCTTGATGACGAGTTCAGAATCAGGAGGATTTATCGATTGCATAGTGGTTGCGACCATGATGGGGTCATAGAGAGATGCCAGTTTGAGGCTAAGTAGGTGGGTTATCTTCTGCGGAAGGTTCTGAGGCCGTGTGATCCCTATGATGTTTATGAGAAGAGCTTTCTTTCTACCAATGGGATGCGTGTGTGCCGCAATTTGAGTTCGGATCGCTTAAAGAAGTTTGCACGACTGTCACGAGGATGGGTATGCACTTAACAGGTGATTTGAGATATTTTATGATTAGAGAAGCATGAGCGGATGAAGGACTTAGTGAATTACAATGCGGGATTATGGCCGTTATAGAGTAAGGGTATTTTGGGTTATCGGATGTAATATTCTATGGCTTCGAGCCAAGTGGGGGAGTGTGTTAGCGGCGATCAGATTGCATGGTCATGTGTTAAGTTAGTCTTGGTCTGAGGCATACTTGTGGATCAGTTATGACTTGAAGAGGTGGATTTCAAGGATGACTCGAGTAAGAAAACTTCTAGATGCATGATGTATTACACTTTAGGGGCATATGGAAAACTTAGAACGATTCAGGATTATTATTCGTGGTGGATGTAGTATACATGGAGTAGGGATTAAGTGGGTTGTTCAAGGTGGGGGTTACTTCTTGAGGTGTTTGTGTGCTAATGGAATACAAGTCGTAAGGCTCGTTTGGGCGGTGCATTGGAGATTTGAGCAGAGTGGATGATTCTCGAGAAGGTTCTAATGAGTTCATGATTCATATGTGGTATATGAGGATTCTCCGGGTTTGTATATGGCTAAGATCTGAGATTTGCATTTGCTTAGTGCCGAGACTTGCATTATTTTGTATCATTAGTGATGCTATATTTCAGTATCAGAGAGGTTAAAGAAACAAATTCAAACTCACAGAAGGTCTCTTTAGAGTGGGCATTTCGGTTGAGGTACTATTGGGTGCTTAATAGGAAATAAAATTTCTTATGGGTCTTAAGACGACGCGGTTTCATTCTAGGATCTCTTGTGGTGAGCTTGGGGTTAAGGATCATAGTGTACTGGTAGAGAGAAGTGATATCTTGAAGGCAAGTCGAGAGGGAATCGAAGAAATAGGTCAGCTTGGTAGTGGTTTGGATCTACATGGTAATAGAAGTGATCGGTTCTTTGGGTTCTTTTGTTGTGGCGAGGCTTCGTAGGTGTGTTGTGGCAATGCTATTGGGCTTGGCAATCTACGTGACTCAGTTGAGTTAGAGCGATTTAGTTCCGATGTCTTGGTTATGTGTAAATGGGTTTCGAAGAGTTCTCGATGGGGTAGACCACGTCTTGGGACAGATAATTTCGACATGCATTAGGGGTATGTTGCGATTTTCTCTTGGATGGGGTGGAAGGTTTCTGGTTGACGGAATGTGTATTCTGCTTGTGCTTCAGGGTTAATAATGAGATTCTCATGCTTTTATATGATGGCATGATAGATGTGGCGCGACGTGTGGGATTGAGAATTGTATGTACAATTTTGTGGTTCAGTTTTGAAGGGAGGGTCACGAGTTCTAGACAGAATGGACGGTTTCAGATGTTTAGAAGGATGTTGGCACTATCTGTTATTACCTGAGAAGAATGCGCATTTCAGAAGGCGCACTATGTTTTGACTTGCAGATGCTTGACTGGTATTACCGTAATCGCCTGGTTGATTGACTGCTGATGTTCAGATTTTGCTATGTGGCACAGAAGAATTATGGAGGTATTTCTCGTGAGATGATTGTGTATGAAGGATTGTCAGTCTTTTGAGTGGTGGAGTAGGGATCGGATATGGAGATTCCTGTATTCTTGAGGTTTAGGGACCGGACGTTCTCCGAGGCAGACTATTCCTTGGTTGCAGACTGTGAAGGTGTGCTAAGAGTTTGACGGCTGGTTGCACGTGTCATGGATAAGTTACTGTCGATTTTTGGAAGGTTATTTACCTATTTCGGGAGGATCAGAATTGATTTAGAGGACACTGGTAGGCCTAATAAAAATGTGTATTCTACATCAGGTCGAATTTGTTACTCAGCACAACTATTGTTGAAGGGTGTGTCATCAGTTAGAGTTGATCTTATTCGTTTATGATATGTTTCATGCGTTACTCTCCTATGATATGATGGGTTGTGAGATGCTGACTATTTACACACATGATGCAGTTTTGTTTGGGCCTTGTGGCGGAATTCGAGCGAGATGGCTCTTGGGGTGTTGAATGGTTGATTGCGCCTTGGTTATGGTCTTCCTGTTTGTGGTATATTATACTATCCGCTTCTCCATGGTTATGGTCATGCACTTCGCATGGTTGTTGTTGATATGCACATGGTTGTTGATTGTGATAATCATGGCTCGAGGTATTCCATGTGGACCGGTGTATGGATTGGGTCACGCATTGCAGCAAAGTTATGTTGGGATATGATCCTTCGTGCTTATTTCATGTGTTTTGTTTCTCCTTCATGCGATGGGTTCATAGCATTGTGCTTTGTGATGGCATCTGTTGAGCTTGCAGGCCGTTCTCTCATTTGATTCTCTTTCCATTATTAGGTACATTCGAGTTGTTGCTTGTTTGTTGCACGCATTGCATGATATGTTGCTCGAGGTGGTGCTGGTGTGGCATGTCGGTCGAGCATCTTGCACTAGATGAGATAAGGTTATTGGACCTGGAATAAGTGCTATCAGATTTGATTAAGATATGTTTGTAAGAATAACACCACTAGTTAGCTTAGAATTTGGCTATGGTTCTTGTTGGGCGAGAGAACTCCACGACTTGTTGATCTGATGAGTGGTTATGAGTTTCTGTGTATTTCTTTCATCATTGGTAGTGTATGAAGGGTTAGAACAAGGTTTTATTTAATATGAGGATTGCTACTGGTGCCACATTTGTTATTAAGCAGCTATTGTGGTTGGAACGATAGCTAGCACGTTCCAACTCCATGGCTTTGGAACGACTCTTGGCACGTTCGCGGACGAATATATGTTTAAGTGGGGGAGAATGTAACGACCCGACCGGTCGTTTTGAGCATTTGCATTCGGTTTGGTGGTTGTAGATCATGAGTAGCTTCATATGGTGTATTATAACTTTTATATATCATCGATTTTAGTTTTCGAGTGGTTTGAGATTGATTTGGAATAATGATTCTTAACTTCAACTTTAAGTTAGAAGAGTTGATCAAGTTTGACTTTTGTGCATTTGAACTCAGATCGGAGTTTTGATTGCTCCGTTAGTTCCGGATGGTGATTTTGGATATGAGCGTATGCCCAGATTTGCATTTAGATATTTCTCTAGGGTTTTGGCTCAAATTGGCAAAAGTTAAAAATTGGAAGGTTTGGAAAGTTCATAGATTTGAGCAAGAGTTGACTTTTATGTTATCAGGTTCAGATTGTCATTCCGGGAGCTGGAATAGGTTCGTTTTGTCATTTGGAAATTGTGTTCAAGTTTGGTTTCATTCCGAGTTGATTTTGTAGGATTCAGACACTTTCGGCGAAGTTTAAAGGTTTGATAAGATAATGATCTTGATCTTCGATTCTTGGTTTTGATGTTATTTGTGATGTTTCGAGCTTTTGGATAAGTTTGGATTAGGTATATGGACTTGTTGGTATAATTGGAGGGGGTCCTGAGAGGCTCAAGTGAACTGGGTGGTTTCAAACATTTTTAGGCCCTTTTTAACTACTGGTTTTTGGCTACAGGGGTGTACATCGTGATCGCGGAGCTCTGGGCCGCAATCGCAAAGAGGAAAATGCAATATTGGAGCTATGAATCGCGTTCGTGGAGGTAAAGTTCGCGTTCGCGAAGAAGAAATTTCTGCTGTCACTGAGCTCACTTTGGGAGCTTATATCTCTCAATCTATAAGGAATTTTGAGGTGATCCAAAAATAAAAGTTGTAGCCCTTTATGTCTAGTTTTAAGAAAATCAAACGTTTGTCATTTGGAGGTTTGTACAAAAAGTTATGGCCGTTATACTACAGGCTATCTGGAAAGAGTTTAGGAAGGTTTAATAGAGATTGTTCATCGTGATCGCGGGGATTCATGGCCGCGATCGCAGAGGGTAAAACTGTGCTGGACATTTTTGGAAACCCGATCGCGAGGTTTGTGACCGCGATCACAAAGAATGACGACTG